ATATATATGCATGTATGCATGTATGTATATATATATATGCATGTATGCATGTATATATATATATATATATATATATATATATATATATATAAAATATTGGTCACCTCAGTAATTAAATTCCTTAACAGTATAGTTCCCTCATCGGAAAGCAGTGGTTTTTGGGGTGGTCGAACATTAATCAATGGTGGCCAAAGCCACCGTTGGCCACCCCCTGGCTCCGCCATAGCAGCTTGTGCCTGCCACATCTGATCTCAGATCTGTTTGCTCTGCCTCGGACAAACAAACAAGAACTATTGAAAAACTGTCACTGTTCAAATCCCTCAGCGACGGGGGACATCGGTGTTGTATCTCATTTTGCCAGCACGGGGCACAAATGTAAAAAAAGTGGGACCTTATTAAAAATTTATTTCTCGCGGTTGTTCCACCTTTGACCGCCAGAGGTCGCTGTTCGCTGCCTTTAAAGCTCCTGGGCGTCATCTTTGAACCTGATCAGGTTTATCTCTCCAGAACAAACTCCGGATCGTTTGTTTTGTTTACCCACCCCTCCCGTTTCCTGTTTAATATTTAATGCACCAAACACTCGGGGAGGGGAGTACAAGTTAGTGAAGGAGGGGGAGGAGGAGGGGGTTCAGAGCCTCTCCCCGCCGGCTGACGCGCCTCCTCTCCGGGTCACATCATCGTGTCGGTCTCCGCCCCGCCGCTCCTTCATCACCCAGAACCACAAGAGCAGGCAGCAGAACCACAGAACCATGAAGGATCGCATCCAGGAACTCAGACACGTAAGTTTCACTTGAATTCTTCGTGAATCCTGTTGCTGTTCTGGGAGTGGAAGCGGTTTTAAATGCGCCCCCAGGGGTGCGCTCACCGAGCAACAGTTGGGTTCTGATGGGGGCTCAGGTTCGGGGTTCCTACCGCCGGTTCTGATCAGACGACTTCTCTCCAAACTGGAGCGTGATGGAGCATTTTTAAAGTCATTTCTTATAAATAAACGAACAAATAAATACAATAAAACCCAAACAAACAAAAATCACTTGTATTCACCTGCTGTTCTTAAATCCATAAGTTATTATAAATTAAAGGAGTGCAGTTGCAGTATAGTAGGTCTTTGCTGAGTATTTTTTTTTCAACATACAGTAAATAGCTGTTTTGAAATATGTCATTTATGAATTTATTTGTGTGTGACAGCTCATCTTTTCAGCTGATCAAAATCTTTAACATCTCTGAATGCAGCGTTTGTTTCACTGACATGTGCTGAATTTGACTTTTTAGGATCCATTTTAAATGGCACCCAAATCAAACTAATATCCAGCTGGTGCTATACATGAACTACCGTCACCTGGAAAATTAGTCTTTATCATTGCTTAAAGCCAATTCATTAAAAAAAAATGGCAGGGAACATTCACATATGCTAAAATGCCAATTAGTAAAAGTTCTCTATAGGGAAGCCATGCAGCAGATTGTGTTAAATCTTCACTTCCTCACAGTCTTCCATCTTTAACGGCACATTGGTGACAGTGGAAAGGAAAAACTCTCTTTTAACAGGAAGAAACTTCCCAACAGAACACAGGATGGGCAGCATTTGCCTCAACTGGTTGGGGTTTGAGAGGAAAGAGACAAACACAGAATGGCTGGTCCAGGTGAAGTTTCTATGGGAAGAAAACCCATGAAAAACATGTTAATGATGGAAATAATTACAAATAGATATGTGAAGAGTAGAGCAGGTAAAACAGAGGCAGATTGAGCTGATGTGGCCTGTTTTACTTCCAGTAGTCTAAGCCTATAGCAGCAGAACTAATGGATACCTCAAGAAACCCAGGTCGACCCTAACTATAGGATTTATATAAAAAGAACATCTTGAGATAATTCCGAAAAGTAGACAAGGTGCCAGCCTCATGGATGGAAACTGGAAGTTGGTTCCACAAGAGTTATCAGAGCCTGATAACCTAAAGCTTTGCCTCCCATTCTAATTTCGGAAACGCTAGGAACCACAAGTAAACCTGCAGTCTGAGAGCAAAGTGCTCTGTTTTGGGAAAATATGGAACAACTGAGGCGTTCAGTTTTAGAATATTTTTGGTCAACTCTTGAAAATAGCAAAATGCACGATCTTCTGCGATGTAGCAATATTTCATGCATTCTGTTAGTGCTCAGAATATGTATCGGATATGACGCTCGGCTACTACCACACCAACTTTTAGCGCAACATCTTTAACTTTCACTGAAATGTAGCCATTGTTCTGTAGCTTAAGGCTCAGCCATCTTGAATTGGGTTGACCACAAAAGACGTACACCCAGCTGTTACTTTCTGAGTGTTTCATTGAACTCCATTCAGTGGTTTGGTAGATATTTTACTGACAAACAGGGTTGATCTCTTACGCCAAGTGCATATCTGTTGCACTCAACGTTTATGTTTGGTGCCATGCTCAGTTACTACCACACCAAATCTGAACTCGGTATGCATAAAACAGGCAAAGTCAGAGTTCCTTGTGTCTTTTAAGCTCAGTTGTCTGTGGCGGCCATCTTGATTTGGGTTAAGTCCTGTGAACATAGTGAGTTGTAAACTTGAGCCCAGTGATTACTTTCTGAGAGCTTCATTAAAATCTGTTCTGTGACTCGTGAGATATTTTGCTCACAGTGCAGACAGACAGCAGCAACACTGGGCGATAATGAGCTGCTCTTGAGTCGATACACAGTTAAATAAGCGCATTGACTCCGACCTTCACTTGGGATGATTCTGGTGAAGCTGCTGTGTGTTTGTGCTCCCAGATGTGGCCGTGCTAAAGTGGCCATTGTCAAATCTGTGTAATTGGCAGTTAAGATGAGGAGAAGGGAAACAATTTGCAGCTCCTCGGTTTCCATTGAAGATTTCCAGCAATGAATTGGCCTCCAGGGAGGCGAACCCAGCCTTGCCAATTGTGTGCGAGTGTGTTCAAGGCGGGCGGTTCTTCATCCTGCCACGCTGCCTCCTCCTCCTCTTCCTCGCTGTGCTGAAGAGATGCTGTTGACACACACACACAGAATTAGACGAAATCTTCCTCTGTATTTCCAGGCAGAAAGCTCAGCCAATATTCAGGTTGTGAGGTCGAGAGCGATGATGTGCCAGCTGCTGATTCCATTTTCTTTCATCATTTCTGATCGTATCGTTCATGTCTGAGAAATTGCTGCTGAAGCGGCTCCAGATCAGACCTATTTTTAGGCAAACCAGACGAAATGAAATGGAAGCAAATTGCATGCCGGTGACAGTTATTTCCCATCAGCACTGGATTAATATTGTTTTCTGCACGAAGCCTCTAGTTAAAGCTGGCTGTGAATGGCAGTAGTCTCAGTGGGTCTGGACAGCACATTACAGCAGCACACCGGTACATACGTGGTTGCATAATGGTCTAGCTGCAGCTAATTTTTCATTGATTAATCTGGCAGTGACAAGTTATTTAAAATAAAATGCACTTGATCAAAACGTCCTAACAAAAGTTCAAATCATTAAACGTCTAGCTTGACTCGAACAGAACTGAAACTCAGACAAAAGCAACAACTACAAGATACCAGTAGTGTAGAAGTACATGAATTAAAATTAATTTAATATACTCATAAGCCTTAGCTCAGATCCAGTTTTAATATGTTCGAGTTGAGATAAACTTGTTCAAATACTCCTTCGCCAATGATGTCATGCACAATCTGATCGCAAGGTAAACTCAGCTTCCACCACGTCAGAGTTTAGCTCAGTATCCTTCAAAGTGACTGAGTTGGAGCCATTTTATGTGTCGGCTATTTCCAGTGAGCTGTGCTTGAACTGGACTGACTCCAAATGCTTGTCAATTGTAGATGTACGTTCAACACTTATTGTTTGAGTCTTGTTGCAATTTGTCCAATATTTTGTGAAGTATTTTTAGTAACAGACACACCCACATACACAAAAACATATCTACTTTTGCCTTTTGGTTTGGATAAAACAATTACTTGAAGCTTAGCTGGTAAAAAAAAATCACAGCACAGTTGCTTCGTTTCTTGTAGTGGAGGCATTTAACAATGGAGGTAAAAGCAGGAGAGTTTAGATGATTAAAGTGGCATCTATTTTCCATCTGTCCATCCGTCCGTCTGTCCGTCCGTCCATCCATCCATCATTACCCACTTCTTCCTTTTCGATTTGCGAGAGTCACTGGTGCCCATATCCAGCCATCACTGTGCGAGAGGCGAGAGATACCTTGGACAGGTCGCAAGTCCATCACAGGGCCAATTAAATTAAATTAAATTTTCAATTCACTTCAGTTTATTTATATAACACCAAATCACAACAGAAGTTATCTCAGGGCACTGAACAAAAACATTCACATACATTAGAAAAAGCAAATTAGTAAAAGTTCTCTATCTAAGGAAGGATGGAAGCCAGCAGATGGCATTGAGTCTTCATTTTGTCGCATTCTCCCATACCAAGCAAGCACAAAGGTAACAGTGGAAAGGAAAAAACTTGCTCATAACAGGAAGAAACCTCCAGCAGAACCAGGCTCAGGACAAGCGGCCATCTGCTTCGACTGGCTGGGTTTGAGAGGACGGGAAGGAGGAACTCACACAGAATGGCAGGTCCAGAATCGAGGTGAGCAGGTCCCTCTCTGAGGAAAGATTAAAAAAAGCATGCTAAGATAGAAACAATTACAAAT